TACATTGCTTCACCACACTCTTAACTTCTCTCTTTTTCTCCATATACTCTTCCCTCCTTGCATCACTTCTATTTTGTAAAAACTTCTCATATGCTAACTTTTTCTCCCTTACTACTCTCTTTACATCATCATTCCACCAATCGTTTCCTCTTCCCTCCTGCACCCACTTTCCTGTAACCACAAACTTCTGCTGAACACTCAAAACACTACATTTTTAAACCTACCCCATACCTCTTCGACCCCATTGCCTATGCTCTCATTAGCCCATCTATCCTCCAATAGCTGTTTATATCTTACCCTAACTGCCTCCTCTTTTAGTTTATAAACCTTCACCTCTCTCTTCCCTGATGCTTCTATTCTCCTTGTATCCCATCTACCTTTTACTCTCAGTGTAGCTACAACTAGAAAGTGATCTGATATATCTGTGGCCCCTCTATAAACATGTACATCCTGAAGTCTACTCAACAGTCTTTTATCTACCAATACATAATCCAACAAACTACTGTCATTTCGCCCTACATCATATCGTGTATACTTATTTATCCTTTTTTTTCTTAAAATATGTATTACCTATAACTAAACCCTTTCTATACAAAGTTCAATCAAAGGCCCCCCATTATCATTTACACCTGGCACCCCAAACTTACCTACCCACACCCTCTCTAAAAGTTTCTCCTACTTAGCATTCAAGTCCCCTACCACAATTACTCTCTCACTTGTTCAAAGGCTCCTATACATTCACTTAACATCTCCCAAAATCTCTCTCTCTCCTCTGCATTCCTCCTTCTCCAGGTGCATACACGCTTATTATGACCCACTTCTCGCATTCCAACCTTTACTTTGATCCACATAATTCTTGAATTTACACATTCATATTCTCTTTTCTCCTTCCATAACTGATCATTTAACATTACTGCTACCCCTTCCTTTGCTCTAACTCTCTCAGATACTCCAGATTTAATCCCATTTATTTCCCCCCACTGAAACTCTCCTACCCCCTTCAGCTTTGTTTCGCTTAGGGCCAGGACATCCAACTTCTTTTCATTCATAACATCAGCAATCATCTGTTTCTTGTCATCCGCACTACATCCACGCACATTTAAGCAACCCAGTTTTATAAAGTTTTTCTTCTTCTCTTTTTTAGTAATTGTATACAGGAGAAGGGGTTACTAGCCCATTGCTCCCGGCATTATATATATATACACACACACACACACACACTAGACGTGTATCTCTCACACCTCATGTACCGTATGTGCCATATTTATATCAACAATGTATCTCTTAAATTTTCTGTATCAAATTATGTAATAAAATATACCTATTGGTAAAAAAAAATGAAAAGATGGGGTGGTAGGGGAAGTGGAATATTTAAACGGTTTCAGGAAGAAATCCAATGTTCTTCCTTGAAGCCTTTTTATCCACTTCTCCGAGGCTATGGGTCCCACAATTTACACCAGAGATGGACCCATATGTATATAATATATGGGAATTGACACAGTTAATTTTTGCTGATACTGTGCTTATGGGAGATTCTAAAGAAAAATTGCAGAAGTTAATAGACGAGTTTGAGAATGTGTGTAAAGGTAGAAAGTTGAAAGTGAACATAGAAAAGAGTAAGGTGATGAGAGTATCAAATGATTTAGATAAAGAAAAAATGGATATCAAATTGGAGAGGAGGAGTATGGAAGAAGTGAATGTTTTCAGATATTTGGGAGTTGACGTGTCAGCTGATGGATTTATGAAGGATGAGGTTAATCATAGAATTGATGAAGGAAAAAAGGTGAGTGGTGCATTGAGGTATATGTGGAGACAACGTTATCTATGGAGGCAAAGAAGGGAATGTATGAAAGTACAGTGGTACCAACACTTATATGGGTGTGAAGCTTGGGTTGTAAATGCTGCAGCGAGGAGGCGGTTGGAGGCAGTGGAGATGTCCTGTCTGAGAGCAATGTGTGGTGTAAATATTACGCAGAAAATTCGAAGTGTGGAAATCAGGAGGTGTGGAGTTAAAAGCATTAGAGGGCTGAAGAGGGGTTGTTGAGGTGGTTTGGTCATTTAGAGAGAATGGATCAAAGTAGAATGACATGGAGAGCATATAAATCTGTAGGGGAAGAAAGGCGGGGTAAGGGTCGTCCTCGAAAAGGTTGGAGGGAGGGGGTAAAGGAAGTTTTGTGGGCGAGAGGCTTGGACTTCCAGCAAGCGTGCGTGAGTGTGTTAGGAGTGAGTGGAGACGAATGGTATTTGGGACCTGACGAGCTGTTTAAGTGTGAGCAGGGTAATATTTAGTAAAGGGATTCAGGGAAACTGGTTATTTTCATATAGTCGGACTTGAGTCCTGGAAATGGGAAGTACAATGCCTGCACTTTAAAGGAGGGGTTTGGGATATTGACAGTTTGGAGGGATATGTTGTGTATCTTTATCCGTATATGCTTCTAAACTGTTGTATTTTGAGCACCTCTGCAAAAACAGTAATGATGTATGAGTGAGGTGAAAGTATTGAGTTATGAGAGAGTAAGTAGTAGGTTGGTATACACTATATAGCGACCACCCATAGAGAGGTACTACCGTCCTGCCAAATGCGTATGAAACGGAAACCTGTAATGGTTTTACACAATGGTAGGATTGCTGGTGTCTTTTCTTTTCCGTCTCATAAACACACAAGAAAACAGGTACTTCTTGCTACTTCTACCTACACTTTAGTTACACTACTTATACATGTACATGTATATGTATAAATACCCATCTGAATTTCCTTCTCTTTTCTTAATACCTGGAGAAGGTTTCGGGGGTCAGCGTCCCTGTGGCCCGGTCTGAGACCAGGCCTCATGGTGGATCAGGGTCTGATCAACCAGGCTGTTGCTGCTGGTCGCACGCAAATTGATGTACGAACCACAGCCTGGCTGGTCACGTATTGACTTTACGTGCCTCTCCAGTGCCTTCTTGAAGACAGTCAGGGGTCTGTTGGTAATCAACCCTTATGTATGCTGGGAGGCAGTTGAACAGTCTTGGGCCTCTGACACTTACTGAGTTGTCTCTCAGTGTACTCGTGGCGCCCCTGCTTTTCATTGGGGGAATGTTGCATCTGCCAAGTCTTTCGCTTTCATAGGGAGTGATTTTCGTGTGCAAGTTTGGCACTAATCCCTCTAGGATTTTCCAAGTGTATATTATCATGTATCTCTCTTGCGTTCCAGGGACTTCAACTGTTCCCAGTAATTTAAGTGCTTCGTGTGTGCCGTGAAAGGTCTTTGTACACTCTCCAGGTCAGCAATTTCGCCTGCCTTGACGAAAGCAGTTAGTGTACAGCAGTATTCCAACCTAGAGAGAACAAGCGATTTGAAGAGAATCATCATGGGTTTGGCATCTCTAGTTTTGAAGGTTTTCATTATCCATCCTATCGTTTTTCTAGCAGATGCGGTAGATACATTGTTGTGGTCTTAGAAGGTGAGATTCTTCTGACATTATCACTCCCAGGTCCTTCACATTACTTTTTCACTCTATTGTATGGCTAGAATTTGTTGTATACCCCGACACAGTTTTAATTTACTCAACTTTTTCATATCTGAATAGTTGAAATTTCTGTTCATTGAAATTCATATTGTTTAGAATAGCCCATTTGAAGATTTGGTTGATGTTTTTGTTTTTATCTATTTTCTTTCATCTACATGAGGAAGTGGAATGGAATCTTTCCTCTATAAGCCATGCAAGTCGTAAGAGAAGACTAAAATGCCGGGAGCAATGGCCTAGTAACCCCTTCTCCTGTATAGATTACTAAAAATAAGAAAAACTTTACAAAGCTGGGCTGTTTGAATGTGCGTGTATGTAGTGCAGATAAGAAAAAGATGATTGCCAGTGTTATGAATGAAAAGTTGGATGTTGTCGTAGTTCTGAGCGAAACAAAGCTGAAAGGAGTAGGGGAGTTTCACTGGGAAGAAATAAATGGGATTAAGTCAAGGGTATCCGAGAGAGAGGTAGAGCTAAGGAACGGGTAGCAATAATGTTGAAGGATCAGTTATTTAAGGAGAAGAGGTAATATAAATGTATAAATTCAGAGATTATGTGGATTAAACAAAGGGTCACATGCAAAAAGTAGGTTATAATGAGTGTTTATGCACCTGGAGAAGAGGGGAGAGAGAGAATTTTGGGAGATGTTAAGCGAGTGTTAAGGAAGTTTTGTACCAAGTGAGAGAGTAATTGTGGTAGGGAATCTGAATACCAATGTGGGGGAAGCAGTTATAGAGGGTGTGGTAGGTAAGTCGGGGATGCCACGGGGAAATGAACTTTGTATAGAAAGAGGTTTAGTAATAGGTAATACATATTTTAAGGAAAAAATATAAAGTATACGAGATATGATATAGGGCGAAATGACCGTAGTTTGTTGGACTGTGTATTGGTAAATAAAAGATTGATGGGTAAACTTCATATAATACTTGAATTTATACATTTCTTTCCATAACTGATCATTCAACATTACCACTACTCCTTCCTTGGCTCTAATTCTCTCTGATACACCTGTCCTAACCCCATTTACTTCTCTACACTGATATTCTTCTACCCCCTTTAGCTTTATATTGCTTAAAGCTAAAGCATCCAGCTTCGTTTCGTCCATAATATTCACAATCAATTTTTGCTTACCATTCGTATTACTTTATACATGAGACGGGGTTACTATCTCCTTGCTCCTGGCATTTTAGTCGCCTTTTACGACACGTAAGACTACGGAGGAAGGATTCCTCTCCACTTCTCCATAGAGACGAAAGAAAATAATATAAGAACAAAAACTATTGAGAAATTAGAAAACCCACATGTAGACAAAGACACAAAGTCAGGTGTTTACCTTCAAAATTGTCTGTTTTACAATATTCACAAATATGCAACTGTTATGGCATTCACAGATATAGAACATGCGTAACCTTTACCTGTGTTCGGTAATCACTTCCCACCAGAACACTCAGCTCCCACCTAAAACTACTCAATAACTACAAGATGCTACTCCTTACCTCTGACGGAGACTCTGAGGAAAGGAGAGACCAGACGGGCTGTGTTTTTGACTCCCAGTTTCTCCATGGCGAGGACGACGTATGTCATTCCTACCTCGAAGAATGGCGGAGGCTTGATGGACTCCTGGTGTGCATAGACTCCTGGCACTGCAATGTCTGTATTGATGTCTGTTTCTTCATCAGTTTCGCTGCTTTCATCAGAACTACAGCTGTCGCAGCTCAGCGTTGAGCGTACGTCCGCGAACTCTTCATCCTTCGTTTCTGATTCTGCCTCCTCCGTAGTGCTGTCTTCAGGCTGAGGACTCACTGACCCCTTTTTCTTGAACGACAGATACTGTTGCAAAATCTTCCGTGTGGTCTTAGGCGATTCAGAGTTGTCCAGGTCAGTTTGAACCGCAGCTCCACCATTCTTCTCGTCGGGTTCCATTTCACCTACATCGGTGGTCTCTGTCGCGTTGTTATTCTTCAGGGATTCCTTCTGGCGCTTGATGTTAGACGCTGTGTTCGGCCGGACTGTGAAATCAATGCCTTTCTCGGAGATCATGGCACCAGGAAGACCCAGTAAACTGAGGAAATCACGTTTTTCTTTAGCAAATACAACTTTGTTGCTCTGACCTTTTTCTTCGTGACGGTGGTGGGTGCGATGTTTGCGCTCCCGGTACACCAACACCACCGGTACCTTGGCCTTGGACACCATCCGTTTTATGGTCTCCAGTCTGTCCACGCATCGATTCAACTCTTTCACCGTCACCGTTTCCGGAGACACTGAGATCAAATTCTTAGATGTCGGAGCGGCAGAAGCAAATCCTGGTTTATTGATCTGACCAAGTGAACCTTTCCGGGTTGTCTTGAGCTGCTGTGTCCTCTGGTCAAGACAGGTCAACACTTGCCCCAGCATTTTCTGTATAGGGAAGACAATACAAGTATTTACATGAACACAATCTTAATATATAAGATATAAAAATATCGTTTGTGTATTGTGGGTGTTCAGCTGTGTATGTGTAGTTACTTAAGTTTACAATTGAGCAGTTTCACTAACTTGTCCATTGGAAGGGGTAACCCCTAATGTGTGTGACAAGAGCTTTCTCCGAGGAATAAAAGTTCATCTTCCCGAGGATCTAACATGATAACCTCACATTTCCAAGGTGCTCTATGACACCTTGGAAACGGCTGATGCACCTTAACTATAATCACTTATTTCTGGCCTCCGGGGACCTATTATACGTCTTCTTGACCCACAAGTGAGCGAGGAGTGTTCAGTGTCAGGGAGGAGTGTTTATTGTCAGGGAGGAGTGTTCAGTGTCAGGGAGGAGTGCTCAGTGTCAGGGAGGAATGTTCAGTGTCAGGGAGGAATGTTCAGTGTCAGGGAGGAATGTTCAGTGTCAGGGAGGAATGTTCAGTGTCAGGGAGGAATGTTCAGTGTCACGGAGGATGTTCAGTGTCAGGAGAGATGGAATGTTCAGTGTCAGGAGGAATGTTCAGTGTCAGGGAGGAATGTTCAGTGTCAGAGAGGAATGTTCAGTGTCAGGAGGAATTTCAGTGTCAGGGGAATGTTCAGTGTCAGGGAGGAATGTTCAGTGTCAGGGAGGAATGTTCAGTGTCAGGGAGGAATGTTCAGTGTCAGGGAGGAATGTTCAGTGTCAGAGAGGAATGTTCAGTGTCAGGGAGGAATGTTCAGTGTCAGGGAGGAATGTTCAGTGTCAGGGAGGAATGTTCAGTGTCAGGGGGAATGTTCAGTGTCAGGAGGAATGTTCAGTGTCAGGAGGAATATTCGTGTCAGGTGTTCAGGTCAGGGAATGTTCAGTGTCAGGGAGGAATGTTCAGTGTCAGGGAGGATGTTCAGTGTCAGGGAGGAATGTTCAGTGTCAGGGAGGAATGTTCAGTGTCAGGAGGAATGTTCAGTGTCAGGAGGAATGTTCAGTGTCAGGGAGGAATGTTCAGTGTCAGGGAGGAATGTTCAGTGTCAGGGAGGAATGTTCAGTGTCAGGGAGGAATGTTCAGTGTCAGGGAGGAATGTTCAGTGTCAGGGAGGAATGTTCAGTGTCAGGGAGGAATGTTCAGTGTCAGGAGAGGATGTTCAGTGTCAGGGAGGAATGTTCAGTGTCAGGGAGGAATGTCATGTCAGAGGATGTTCAGTCGGAATGAGATCGAATGTTCAGTGTCAGGGAGGAATGTTCAGTGTCAGGGAGGAATGTTCAGTGTCAGGGAGGAATGTTCAGTGTCAGGGAGGAATGTTCAGTGTCAGGAGGAATGTTCAGTGTCAGGGAGGAATGTTCAGTGTCAGGGAGGAATGTTTCAGTGTCAGGGAGGAATGTTCAGTGTCAGGGAGAATGTTCAGTGTCAGGAGGAATGTTCAGTGTCAGGAGGAATGTTCAGTGTCAGGGAGGAATGTTCAGTGTCAGGGAGGAATGTTCAGTGTCAGGAATGAATGTTCAGTGTCAGGGAGGAATGTTCAGTGTCAGGGAAGGAATGTTCAGTGTCAGGAGGAATGTTCAGTGTCAGGGAGGAATGTTCAGTGTCAGGAGGAATGTTCAGTGTCAGGGAATGAATGTTCAGTGTCAGGAGGAATGTTCAGTGTCAGGGAGGATGTTTCAGTGTCAGGAGGAATGTTCATGTCAGGGAGGATGTTCATGTCAGGAGGATGTTCAGTGTCAGGAAGGAATGTTCAGTGTCAGGGAGGAATGTTCAGTGTCAGGAGGAGTGTTCAGTGTCAGGAGAATGTTCAGTGTCAGGAGAATGAGGATGTTCAGTGTCAGGAGGAATGTTCAGTGTCAGGAGGAGTGTTCAGTGTCAGGGAGGAATGTTCAGTGTCAGGAAGAATGTTCAGTGTCAGGAGGAATGTTCAGTGTCAGGAAGGATGTTCAGTGTCAGGGAGGATGTTCAGTGTCAGGAGATGTTCAGTGTCAGGGAGGAATGTTCAGTGTCAGGAATGAATGTTCAGTGTCAGGAGAGATGTTCAGTGTCAGGGAGGATGTTCAGTGTCAGGAAGGATGTTCAGTGTCAGGAGGATGTTCAGTGTCAGGAAGGATGTTTCAGTGTCAGGAAGGAATGTTCAGTGTCAGGGAGGAGTGTTCAGTGTCAGGAATGAATGTTCAGTGTCAGGAGATGTCAGTGGTTTCAGTGTCAGGGAGGAGTGTTCAGTGTCAGGGAGGAGTGTTCAGTGTCAGGAGGAGTGTTCAGTGTCAGGGAAGGAGTGTTTAGTGTCAGGAAGATGTTCAGTGTCAGGGAGGAGTGTTCAGTGTCAGGAGGAGTGTTCAGTGTCAGGGAGGATGTTCAGTGTCAGGAGGAGTGTTCAGTGTCAGGAGGAGTGTTCAGTGTCAGGAGGAGTGTTCAGTGTCAGGAGGAGTGTTCAGTGTCAGGAAGGAGTGTTCAGTGTCAGGGAGGAGTGTTCAGTGTCAGGGAGGAGTGTTCAGTGTCAGGAGGATGTTCAGTGTCAGGGGATGTTCAGTGTCAGGGAGGAGTGTTCAGTGTCAGGAAGGAGTGTTCAGTGTCAGGGAGGAGTGTTCAGTGTCAGGGAGGAGTGTTCAGTGTCAGGAAGGAGTGTTCAGTGTCAGGGAGGAGTGTTCAGTGTCAGGGAGGAGTGTTCAGTGTCAGGGAGGAGTGTTCAGTGTCAGGAGGAGTGTTCAGTGTCAGGAAGGAATGTTCAGTGTCAGGGAGGAGTGTTCAAGATGTCAGGAGGAGGTGTTCAGTGTCAGGAGGAGTGTTCAGTGTCAGGAATGAATGTTCAGTGTCAGGGAGGAGTGTTCAGTGTCAGGGAGGAGTGTTCAGTGTCAGGGAGGAGTGTTCAGTGTCAGGAAGGAGTGTTCAGTGTCAGGGAGGAGTGTTCAGTGTCAGGAGGAGTGTTCAGTGTCAGGGAGGAGATGTTCAGTGTCAGGAGGAGTGTTCAGTGTCAGGAGGAGTGTTCAGTGTCAGGGAGGAGTGTTCAGTGTCAGGGAGGAGTGTTCAGTGTCGGGAAAGGGAAAGTGTTCAGTGTCAGGGAGGAGTGTTCAGTGTCAGGAATGTGTTCAGTGTCAGGAGGAGTGTTCAGTGTCAGGAATGATGTTCAGTGTCAGGAGGAGTGTTCAGTGTCAGGGAGGAGTGTTCAGTGTCAGGGAGGAGTGTTCAGTGTCAGGGGGAGTGTTCATGTGCAGGAGGAGTGTTCAGTATCAGAGGAGTGTTCAGTGTCAGGGAGGATGTTCAGTGTCAGGGAGGAGTGTTCAGTGTCAGGGAGGAGTGTTCAGTGTCAGGGAGAATGTTCAGTGTCAGGGAGGAGTGTTCAGTGTCAGGAATGAATGTTCAGTGTCAGGGAGGAGTGTTCAGTGTCAGGAAGTGAATGTTCAGTGTCAGGAGGATGTTCATGCAGGAATGAATGTTCAGTGTCAGGAGGAGTGTTTCAGTGTCAGGGAGGAGTGTTCAGTGTCAGGAAGGAGTGTTCAGTGTCAGGAAGGAGTGTTCAGTGTCAGGAAGGAGTGTTCAGTGTCAGGAATGAATGTTCAGTGTCAGGGAGGAGTGTTCAGTGTCAGAAGGAGTGTTCAGTGTCAGGATGATTTCAGTGTCAGGAAGAATGTTCAGTGTCAGGAAGGAGTGTTCAGTGTCAGGAAGGAGTGTTCAGTGTCAGGGAGAGTGCAGGGGATGTTCAGTGTCAGGAAGGAGTGTTTAGTGTCAGGAAGTGAATGTTCATGTGAGAGGAATGAATGTTATGTCAGGAAGGAGTGTTCATGTCAGGAAGGAGTGTTTGCTCAGTGTCAGGTCAGAGGAGTGTTCAGTGTCAGAAAGGAGTGTTTAGTGTCAGGAATGAATGTTCAGTGTCAGGAATGAATGTTCAGTGTCAGGAAGGAGTGTTCAGTGTCAGAAAGGAGTGTTCAGTGTCAGGAATGAATGTTCAGTGTCAGGAATGAATGTTCAGTGTCAGGAAGGAGTGTTCAGTGTCAGAAAGGAGTGTTCAGTGTCAAGAAGGAGTGTTTAGTGTCAGGGAGGAGTGTTCAGTGTCAGGAAGGAGTGTTTAGTGTCAGGAAGGAGTGTTCAGTGTCAGGAAGGAGTGTTTAATGTCAGGGAGGAGTGTTTAATGTCAGGGAGGAGTGTTCAGTGTCAGGAAGGAGTGTTTATCGTCAGGAAGGAGTGTTCAGTGTCAGGAAGGAGTGTTCAGTGTCAGGAAGGAGTGTTTAGTGTCAGGAATGAGTGTTCAGTGTCAGGAAGGAGTGTTCAGTGTCAGGAAGGAGTGTTCAGTGTCATTAAGGAGTGTTCAGCGTCAGGAAGGAGCGTTTAGTGTCAGGAAGGAGTGTTTAGTGTCCTGAAGGAGTGTTCAGTGTCCTGAAGGAGTGTTCAGTGTCAGGAAGGAGTGTTCAGTGTCAGGAAGGAGTGTTCAGTGTCAGGAAGGAGTGTTCAGTGTCAGGAAGGAGTGTTCAGTGTCAGGAAGGAGTGTTCAGTGTCAGGAAGGAGTGTTTAGTGTCAGGGAGGAGTGTCAGTGTCCAGGAAGGAGTGTTTAGTGTCAGGAAGGAGTGTTTCAGTGTCAGGAAGGAGTGTTCAGTGTCAGGAAGGAGTGTTCAGCGTCAGGAAGGAGTGTTCAGTGTCATGAGGTAGTGTCAGTGTCAGGAAGGAGTGTTCAGTGTCAGGAAGGAGTGTTCAGTGTCCGGAAGGAGTGTTCAGTGTCAGGAAGGAGTGTTTAGTGTCAGGAAGGAGTGTTCAGTGTCAGGAAGGAGTGTTCAATGTCAGGAAGGAGTGTTCAGTGTCAGGAAGGAGTGTTCAATGTCATTAAGGAGTGTTCAGTGTCATTAAGGAGTGTTCAGTGTCAGGAAGGAGTGTTCAGTGTCAGGAAGGAGTGTTTAGTGTCAGGGAGGAGTGTTCAGTGCCAGGAAGGAGTGTTTAATGTCAGGAAGGAGTGTTTAGTGTCAGGAAGGAGTGTTCAGTGTCAGGAAGGAGTGTTCAGTGTCAGGAAGGAGTGTTCAGTGTCATTAAGTAGTGTTCAGTGTCAGGAAGGAGTGTTCAGTGTCAGGAAGGAGTGTTTAGTGTCAGGAAAGGAGTGTTCAGTGCCAGGAGATGTCTGTCTGAAGGAGTGTTCAGTGTCAGGAAGGAGTGTTTAGTGTCAGGAAGGAGTGTTCAGTGTCAGGGAGGAGTGCTCAGTGTCAGGAAGGAGTGTTCAGTGTCAGGAAGGAGTGTTCAGTGTCAGGAAGGAGTGTTCAGTGTCAGGAAGGAGTGTTTAGTGTCAGGAAGGAGTGTTCAGTGTTAGGAAGGAGTGTTCAGTGTTAGGAAGGAGTGTTCAGTGTCAGGAAGGAGTGTTTCAGTGTCAGGAAGGAGTGTTCGTGTCAGGAAGGAGTGTTCAGTGTCAGGAAGGAGTGTTCAGTGTTAGGAAGGAGTGTTCAGTGTCAGGAAGGAGTGTTCAGTGTCAGGAAGGAGTGTTCAGTGTTAGGAAGGAGTGTTCAGTGTCAGGAAGGAGTGTTCAGTGTCAGGAAGGAGTGTTCAGTGTTAGGAAGAGTGTTCAGTGTCAGGAAGGAGTGTTCTCTTCGCATCTTTTCTGACACCTTCGGATCTAGCATCTTTAGCAATTGATTTCTGACCTTTCATAAAATTTACATGAGCACCTGTGTGTATGTTGGTGATCCTTGTATGTGTTTGTGACTCAGGTACAGTTTCTGTGTATCCCAAAGATTTCAGGAAGTGCGGGGATGGCAGGAGTTCTAATATTAACCTGTGGTTCGTACGTCGGGTTGCGTGCGGCCAACACTAATAGCCTGGTTGATCAGGCCCTGATCCACTATGAGGCCTGGTTACAGACCCGGCCGCGGGGGTGTTGACCCCCGAAACCCTCTCCAGGTATACTTCAGGTATGGTGAAACAAGGACTGGCGGGGCTGCTGGAATGTGTATGTAGCCGAGCACCACCTTGAGTAACATTACGCCTCGATCAGTGCTTTAATTTGTAAATGAGGGTCGATTATTAAAAATAAAGTGTTGTGAAAGAATGTCCCGTTACATGGAGGGGCCCGGAGCTGTACTTCATCACCTCCCCAACACAGGTTTGATATAAAATTAAGTTTTCTCGGTAAATACTCCCAGAGTCCACTGCCCTATTTGTTCTGTATTGAACTCCTTTAACCCGGGAAGCTTTGCTAACTGTTATTTTTTATGTATATGTGTAGTATAGTGCATCATTATTGGCCGAGTGATGTGCTCGACAGTTGTCAGTTGTCTGTGGTTTGAGAGAAATAGGTGATTTACCTGTGAGGATTCGGAATTCTAGAGAGAAGGATTTTTTTTTGTAGACTCTTCTAGTGCTTGTAAAAGTGCAAAGTGTAGTTTTTACTGAGGTTTAACTTAGTCAAAGTGCCATGGAGGGGCAATGCATTCTAAATAATAATAAATTTTTAAAGGGCAAAATTGTTTACAAATATTTTTTTTTCGCAACGCTTATCATAATTACAACGTTGACGGGACACAAGGACTCAAATGGGAAGACGATTTCACAATACACTAGTTACAAGTTGTTGTAGTGGGAAGGATAGATTTGTAATGGGGTAGGTTGTCCGTAAGTAAGACTAGCAGCGCTGTGATCCTTGTACAGGTTTAGCGCTTAGTTTTGATTATTAAATAACAAGAAGGCACAATACAGATAACCCGCATATAGGAGAGGAGAGCTTACCACGACGGTCGTATGAGCGGGTTACTTGTGTTTTGATTAGTATTATTCTTATTGACTTACCTTCTGGTCGCAGGTCAGATGTTCGTAGTCAAATATTGCTCCTTTGGTGATATGACGATTCAGTCTGCAACACAAAGAAAATCAACATTATAGTTAAGTGCCGTCTTCAACATGTCTCGACAAGAATGTTTGGTAAGTTGTCATCATACTTATAATGATACTTTGTCTTACTAATGATATTCCTTATAGCGTGAAAACGGAAGTCAGTATTATAATTTCTCTCATGTTCACATGGCTGAAATACTAAACGCAAGATTTGCATTATAAATAAAACTGTTGAAATTTCGTGCTTGAAGGCTCCGTCACGACCCGCACGGGTCACTTGTAGGCTCCAACACTACCCACACAGGTTACTGGTAGGCTCCAACGCTACCCACACAGGTTACTGGTAGGCTTCAACACTACCCACACAGGTTACTGGTAGGCTTCAACACTACCCACACAGGTTACTGGTAGGCTTCAACACTACCCGCACAGGTTACTGGTAGGCTTCAACACTACCCGCACAGGTTACTGGTAGGCTTCAACACTACCCGCAAAAGGTTACTGGTAGGCTTCAACACTACCCGCACAGGTTACTGGTAGGCTTCAACACTACCCACACAGGTTACTGGTAGGCTCCAACGCTACCCACACAGGTTACTGGTAGGCTTCAACACTACCCGCACAGGTTACTGGTAGGCTCCAACACTACCCACACAGGTTACTGGTAGGCTTCAACACTACCCGCACAGGTTACTGGTAGGCTTCAACACTACCCGCACAGGTTACTGGTAGGCTTCAACACTACCCACACAGGTTACTGGTAGGCTTCAACAATACCCGCACAGGTTACTGGTAGGCTCCAACGCTACCCACACAGGTTACTGGTACGGTTCAACACTACCCACACAGGTTACTGGTAGGCTCCAACACTACCCACACAGGTTACTGGTAGGCTCCAACGCTACCCACACAGGTTACTGGTAGGCTTCAACACTACCCACCTACCCACACAGGTTACTGGTAGGCTCCAACACTACCCACACAGGTTACTGGTAGGCTCCAACACTACCCGCACAGGTTACTGGTAGGCTCCAACACTACCCACACAGGTTACTGGTAGGCTTCAACACTACCCACACAGGTTACTGGTAGGCTCCAACACTACCCACACAGGTTACTGGTAGGCTTCAACACTACCCACACAGGTTACTGGTAGGTTCCAACACTACCCACACAGGTTACTGGTAGGCTTCAACACTACCCACACAGGTTACTGGTAGTTTCCAACACTACCCACACAGGTTACTGGTAGGCTTCAACACTACCCACACAGGTTACTGGTAGGCTCCAACACTACCCGCACAGGTTACTGGTAGGCTCCAACACTACCCACACAGGTTACTGGTAGGCTTCAACACTACCCACACAGGTTACTGGTAGGCTCCAACACTACCCACACAGGTTACTGGTAGGCTTCAACACTACCCACACAGGTTACTGGTAGGTTCCAACACTACCCACACAGGTTACTGGTAGGCTTCAACACTACCCACACAGGTTACTGGTAGGTTCCAACACTACCCACACAGGTTACTGATAGGCTTCAACACTACCCACACAGGTTACTGGTAGGTTCCAACACTACCCACATAGGTTACTGGTAGGCTTCAACACTACCCACACAGGTTACTGGTAGGCTTCAACACTACCCACACAGGTTACTGGTAGGCTTCAACACTACCGCACAGGTACTGGTAGCTCCAACACTACCACACAGGTTACTGGTAGGCTTCAACACTACCCACACAGGTTACTGGTAGTTCCAACACTACCCACACAGGTTACTGGTAGGCTTCAACAACCCACACAGGTTACTGGTAGGCTCCAACACTACCACACAGTTACTGGTAGGCTTCAACACTACCCACACAGGTTACTGGTAGGTTCCAACACTACCCACACAGGTTACTGGTAGGTTCCAACACTACCCACACAGGTTACTGGTAGGTTCCAACACTACCCACACAGGTTACTGGTAGGTTCCAACACTACCCACACAGGTTACTGGTAGGTTCCAACACTACCCACAACAGGTTACTGGTAGGTTCCAACACTACCCACACAGGTTACTGGTAGGTTCAACACTACCCACAAGGTTACTGGTAGGTTCCAACACTACCCACACAGGTTACTGGTAGGTTCCAACACTACCCACACAGGTTACTGGTAGGTTCCAACACTACCCACACAGGTTACTGGTAGGTTCCAACACTACCCACACAGGTTACTGGTAGGTTCCAATACAGCTTCTTTTAAGCTCCAGTAGAGGTTGGCTTCAGCACCACTGAGGAGACTCGACCCTCCTTCAAGGTAGTTACCACCATCTTAACTACAAGCTCTGTATGGCGCCTTCGGATTTAGCGCTTCCCTATGATGGTAATGATAATACTAATAATAATAATAACTCTGGGAACAGCACATCTGTCGTGGCACATCATTTATTTTACTTTCGTTTCATTAGTAATAATGTGTGGAGCCCCGCCCTCACAGCTCTCACCTCGGCCTGAATCTGTCATTACTTACCTTGATTCATCCTTTAACTGTCTCTTATTTCCACTTTTACTAACCCTCCTCCATTCATTGTTTATTCTCCTTTCCCATCCTTACGTGCCCACTTTCATCATTACTAATATTTATCATTATATAACTTATTTTCCCTTTATCTTTCTTCACTCCTTTTCATCCTCCTTCACTTACACAAATGTTAACCTGGGTGAAGGTGTGACCTGGCAGACAACAGTCGTGTGACAACCTGGGTGAAGGTGTGACCTGGCAGACAACAGTCGTGTGACTACCTGGGTGAAGGTGTGACCTGGCAGACAACAGTCGTGTGACAACCTGGGTGAAGGTGTGACCTGGCAGACAACAGTCGTGTGACAACCTGGGTGAAGGTGTGACCTGGCAGACAACAGTCGTGTGACTACCTGGGTGAAGGTGTGACCTGGCAGACAACAGTCGTGTGACTACCTGGGTGAAGGTGCGACCTGGCAGACAACAGTCGTGTGACTACCTGGGTGAAGGTGTGACCTGGCAGACAACAGTCGTGTGACTACCTGGGTGAAGGTGCGACCTGGCAGACAACAGTCGTGTGACTACCTGGGTGAAGGTGTGACCTGGCAGACAACAGTCGTGTGACTACCTGGGTGAAGGTGCGACCTGGCAGACAACAGTCGTGTGACTACTGGGTGAAGGTGTGACCTGGCAGACAACAGTCGTGTGACTACCTGGGTGAAGGTGCGACCTGGCAGACAACAGTCGTGTGACTACCTGGGTGAAGGTGCGACCTGGCAGACAACAGTCGTGTGACTACCTGGGTGAAGGTACGACCTGGCAGACAACAGTCGTGTGACTACCTGGGTGAAGGTGCGACCTGGCAGACAACAGTCGTGTGACTACCTGGGTGAAGGTGTGACCTGGCAGACAACAGTCGTGTGACTACCTGGGTGAAGGTGTGACCTGGCAGACAACAGTCGTGTGACTACCTGGGTGAAGGTGTGACCTGGCAGACAACAGTCGTGTGACTACCTGGGTGAAGGTGCGACCTGGCAGACAACAGTCGTGTGGACTACCTGGGTGAAGGTGTGACCTGGCAGACAACAGTCGTGTGACTACCTGGGTGAAGGTGCGACCTGGCAGACAACAGTCGTGTGACTACCTGGGTGAAGGTGTGACCTGGCAGACAACAGTCGTGTGACTACCTGGGTGAAGGTGTGACCTGGCAGACAACAGCCGTGAGTGTGACAACCTGGATGAAGGTGTGACCTGGCAGACAGTCGTGAGTGTGACTACCTGGGTGAATGTGTGACCTGGTAGACAACAGTCGTGAGTGTGACTACCTGGGTGAAGATGTGACCTGGCAGACAGTCGTGAGTGTGACTACCTGAGTGAAGATGTGACATGGAAGACAACAGTCGTGAGTGTGACAACCTGGGTGAAGATGTGATCTGGCAGACAGTCGTGAGTGTGACTACCTGAGTGAAGATGTGACCTGGCAGACAGTTGTGAGTGTGACTTCCTGGATGAAGGTGTGACCTGACAGACAACAGTCATGAGTGTGACTACCTGGGTGAAGATGTGACCTGCCAGGCAACAGTCGTGAGTGTGACTACCTGGGTGAATGTGTGACATGGCAGACAACAGTCGTGAGTGTGACTACCTGGGTGAAGATGTGACCTGGCAGACAACAGTCGTGAGTGTGACAACCTGGGTAAAGGTGTGACCTGGCAGAAAACAGTCGTGAGTGTGACTACCTGGGTGAAGGTGTGACCTGGCAGACAGTCGTGAGTGTGACTACCTGGGTGAATGTGTGACATGGCAGACAACAGTCGTGAGTGTGACTACCTGGGTGAAGATGTGACCTGGCAGACAACAGTCGTGAGTGTGACAACCTGGGTAAAGGTGTGACCTGGCAGAAAACAGTCGTGAGTGTGACTACCTGGGTGAAGATGTGACCTGGCAAACAATCGTGAGTGTGACTACCTGGGTGAAGATGTGACCTGGCAGACAGTCGTGAGTGTGACTACCTGGGTGAAGATGTGACCTGGCAGACAACAGTCGTGAGTGTGACTACCTGGGTGAAGATGTGACCTGGCAGACAGTCGTGAGTGTGACTACCTGGGTGAAGATGTGACCTGGCAGACAACAGTCGTGAGTGTGACTACCTGGGTGAAGGTGTGACCTGGCAGACAACAGTCATGTGTGACTACCTGGGTGAAGATGTGACCTGGCAGACAACAGTCGTGAGTGTGACTACCTGGGTGAAGGTGTAACCTGGCAGACAACAGTCATGAGTGTGACAACCTGGGTGAAGGTGTGACCTGGCAGACTAAAGTGAGTGTGACTACCTGGGTGAAGGTGTGACCTGACAGACAACAGTCGTGAGTGTGAATACCTGGGTGAAGGTGTGACCTGGCAGACAGTCGTGAGTGTGGCAACCTGGATGAAGGTGTGACCTGGCAGACAGTCGTGAGTGTGACAACCTCAGTGAAGGTGTGACCAGGCAGACAGTCGTGAGTGTGACTACCTGGGTGAATGTG